TATCACTTTTAACGTTGCTATTACAATTTTGATTGACTAGATTCCATAATGCTTTATTTTTATTTTTTGCTAGTTCAATGGATTTTTTGTTGTAGTATTTTTTTTTAGATTGGAGTGTTTGACGATACAATTTTCTATATTTATTTCTTGCTTCTTTAGACTCTGCTGTTTTAGTTACATTATTTATTATACTTAAACTATGGAATGTATTTCGCATAGATTTTAGGTCTTCGTCAAACCACATAATTTTACATTTATTATTTGTTTTGATACGTTTTTCTGGAAAAGCAGCATTTGCATGATCTACTATTATATCTACAAACTTTTGAAATTTATCACATACATTTTGGTTAGTATTATCTATCCAGGTCCAATCGACTGAACTGAGTGTTTGATAGAACAAAAATCTACCCGTCTCAGTTATTGGTCGAATTATTTTATACTTTACTTTACTATTAGATAATAATGGTAAGGAATATTCTATTTTCACCCCCAGGTGATCAGACATGTGGCTGTCAAGAGGTGTTGTTTTAATGTGAGACAAATTAATATTAGTAAATACATTATCTAAACAGTTTTTTAGCCTGGTATTAAAGTTTACAATGTAATATAGGCCATAACTACTCATCAAGTCACAAAGCTGATCTCTAAATTTATTTTCTTGGTTAAATATAATATTAAAATCACCAGCTATTATAATATTGTTGTTCAACGGATTCACAGCTTTTACAGTGTCGTCTATAACATTTAGGAAATTACAAAAGTTACCTGAAGGTGGTCTATATACATTGATAAAGATGGTATCAAGTCTTTTAAGTTTTACACCAGATAGTTCGCAGACTTTTTCGATGGAAAGTGTCTTGATCTCTGTAAGGGCGATAGTTTCTGTTTGGTTTGGTGTTAGTATCAGGGATCCACCATGTTTGGATGATCTTCTAGAAAAGAAAGATTTTGTCGAAAAGTTGTTAATAATCAGCATGTCAGCTTCGTCGGAACTTAGCCAATGTTCACAGATGCCTATTAAGGAAAAGTCTTCGTCAATTAGGAGTAGTTCTAGTTCTGCTAGTTTGGGTCTAATGGACTGGATATTTAGAACCAGAATGTTTAGTGTAGATGTCAGTTCTGACGATTTTTTGGATTCTTGGGGTGAAAAAACCTCGAGACTAAGGTACCATATGGCCAGTAATCAGGGTTTTTTATCTTTTCGAGGTTTTCGAGATTAATAGTGACTTTGAATCTTGACTGATTTGTTTCAAATTTGTTATCGAGTAGCTCACATTTCACTTCGGGGAAATCTTCTGCGAGATACGTCTGCAGATCATTTACCGTCGTGTTTTTAGCAAGTCTTCTAACGTAAAGATAAGCTTTAGCTTGGGATGCCTTCAGAGGTCCAGAGTTGTCTTTCTTGCCAATAATTACATTGTTAGCTTTTGAGGACGAGGTGTTCCGTTTTTTGGGGGCTGCTGCCGAAGTATTAGTTTTCTCTAAGTAATCTTTTTTGGCTTGAGTTTTAAGGTGTGTCGTATCCTTGCTTGAATTGTCAGGATTCATTAATGGCGTCTTTTGATCTCGAATCGTTGAAGTATCAGTTATTAACTTCGTACTTTTTTTTGGCATACCTGTTGCTTCTATGTCTTTTTGTGTCTCGTTTCGTACGTCGGTGATCTCAGATTTTTTGATGTCTTGCTTATTACCTTTTTTGCTCTGTAGAAGTTCAATGTGGTCCCGCATTAATTGGATGGTTCCTCGTAATTCCAGGATTAATTCATCCTTTTGTTTTAAAATGTATTGGAAAAGTTTTTCGTCCATTTTACCATTGGCGTCCCAGAAAGTTTCGCTCTCCGGTTCCACAGTTTCCGTACTCTGTTTGGTTATGTCTTGACAGTAAACAGTCTTACAGATCCAATTTTTCTTCAGATGGAAACCTCGAAGATTTACACTCACACACTGCGAATGGAAGTTATTGTTACAGATAGTACACGTAATCACTGTTTTAGTATCATTTATAACTGATTTGCAGAGAGCACAAGTAACGTGTGTGTTCGCGCCCGCCATTGCCGGACCTTTTTTGATTTGATTTGATACTTTTATCGTTTTTTTTTTTTTAATATTTAAAAATAACAAAATTTCGCAACCTGTCAATGCAGCATTTGGATGTGAATTTTACCTAGCAACCATTGTTTAATATTTTCCACGCCATACTTAAAAAAAAAACGCGTCTTCATTTACAATGAATACGGTAATTGTACCACAAGAAGTAGCATTTGAAGCTTCAAAAGCAACATCCAGTTTACTTTCCAACAAGTTGTATTAATTTGAATTTTAGTAAACCAGCGAATATTAGAGTAATTTCTACTTCCACTTCGATTTCCATACTTATCAAAAATGACTGAACTGTGGGTAAAAATGACATAAGAGTGGGTAAAATTACACTTTACCATCACAAAAATTGTCGGTAAAAGAGAAAAAGAACTGTAATAGGCCCGGTATTTCAGTTGTTGGTTAAACCAAGAAATTATAGTTAACCAAAAAAAGTTTTGGCAGTGACTATGTATTTAAAAGACCGGCAACCCCGTATCCTTATGCGTACCAGTGAGTTAATATTGGCGCTCAGATGGCGTCCCGAAATGCGACAAAAGCCCTCTAACCTTCAATGGTTGTTACTAATACCATTTTACGGGTTGTTGTCTGAGCTTGTACAACACAACTACTGTAAGTGAATCGCTCTTGCAGCCGTTTTAGTTTGAAATTTAACAAGTCGGACGGCACGGAAAATTACTGACACTTTGCGACTCGAATCAAATAAGGGTGTGGGGACCAAAAATCTGCGCAAGTTTCAAACTAGCATAACTTTATTATTGAATGACGAATTAAAAATGCAACTGTTAACATTTATAAAACAACTTTATAGAGTACGATTTGCAACATATCTACTTGCTTCACAAATTTTTGTTTTAACACGGCGCGGCGCATTAAATTTGTGAAAGCCAATATTTTTTTCTGCCAAATTTTCAGCAATACACACTGCTTAATTCTATATGTGTGAAGGGTTTCTACCCTACATTTTTCACACAAATTCCACTTTAGATTTCTTCAAAAGCGTTCAATTGGTCGCAGTTGAGGGACGTTCGGAACATTTTTGTCCTTAAATTACTAGTTATAATGTTTCAATACATGGTTACTGCGGTGGTTCTGACTGATTAAGGCTTCTCTCCTCTTCTGGGCCATTTTTGTTGCTGGAATTCCACTTCTTGTCTGTCTTTCTATCGAATTACTATTCTCTAGAGTTATAATTTGTCCTTTTTGATATCCCCATTTGGAAAAAGTGATTAAATGTGAGAGGCTTTTTTAAATGCATACGGTCTGTATAAAATTCGGCAAACACATTTCGGCAATTATTTTCATTCGAGTGTTCCTTTTCGCACAAAATATTAAACTTCTAGTGGAATTAGCGATAACAATTTTTGATAAGTCGTCGCCTGGGAACATGTTTGATCCACAGACCAGAGCGCGCTCATGCCAATGTCGATTCTAAGCGTTCAGAATTGAAAAAAGAAATTGAAAAGTTCCCAAAACTGATAATGTTGAAAAAATTGAGAAATCGGAAAATCTATAAATCGAAAAATTTTAAAAATCGAAAAACCAAGGTAAAAAAAAAGATAAAATCGAGAAGTCTAAACATAAAGAAATAAAAAAAATTAAAATTTAAAAACAGAGAAATTGAATAATTGGATAAATGAAAAATCGAAACATCGAAAAATTGGAAAATTGAAAAATTAAAAAAAAGTGGAAAATCGAAAAATTAAAATGTAGGAACAACCGTTCCCACAAAATCAGGTGTTCTACCTGAGCGCATTCATAATCTTTGTACAAATGTAAATACGTCTTATCTATACTCACTGGTTTTGGTTAAGTGTATTTCAGTGTGGGGTTAAGAATATTTGACGATTAAATTTCTTGGTTACTTTAACCCAGCCCAGCGAGGTGGTTTAACCCAAGGTTAGTTAATAAGAATCTATTAAATGACTTTGATATTCTTGCACATGCTCTTTTCAGCTGGTAGACCAATTACGATACCAACTTAAGAGAAATAATGGTTAGTTAACCAGAATATACTTAACCAAATTTTCGACACTGAAATACCGGTTCTTGGTTAAAGTTTTGGTTAAAATTTAACCAAGGTTAGTTAATCCTGATTTTAACCAACTACTGAAATACCGGGCCTAAGTCTAAAATAAAAATAATTTATTTGTTCCGCATTCGTAAACATCAATTTATCAAGTCACTGTATTCAACATGAAAATGTCACTTAACTGGTTATAGCCTGTAAAAATTTTACTGGCTAACCAGGCTAACCAGCAGAATTTTTACACCCCTGTTCGTGCTCACAGCCATATATTTTAAACTATTATGACAGGCAAAGTTGATTCAGGCAAATTTTCAGTCACAATTGCTGCTTCCTCAGTAATATAGCTTGCGCCACACTCATTTCAATACAGCGAAAACGATAAATCTAAATGACAGAACTAGACAACACAATAAATGCTATGATAAGTGCCATGCTGACATGCGTTTCCAATGCAATACGTCTAAAGCTCATACGATGTTTTTTCAAATATCGGACCTTCTAGAGTTTTTAATAGTTTATAATAGTTATTTACAAGTGAGAAACAAATAAAATATTAAACAATACACGCAAGGTAACGGGTTTTTACTGGCTCCAGAAGGTTAGTGGCTCGCCTGCGGCTCGCCAGTCATATCCTTCTGTCCGCCAGTAAAAACCCTTTTACCATGCTAGTAATGTTAAATACTATATAATTGCAATTTGGTCTTAAGTTTCATTACATTAGTTCTCATATGGATCCTTGAAATCTTTTAGGCCACAAATATCTTATTTATTTTAAAATCATCGACAGCACAAATAAGAGACATGTCCTTCCGCCAAACTATTCAACAAACCTATAATCAAAGATCTTAGTCACTTACTCTTGTGTTGACAAATAATTTTCTAATTCGTATTCATATTTTTCTATGATATATGACAAGACAACAAATACACCACCAGGTGTATATCCGTCACTGAAAAAATAAACAAAATAATAAAAAGATAAAATAAATGCGCATACATAAATCTCAGTACAAGCAAAGATTTTTCTAAATTTTTGTCATAATTTCTAAATATTCAACACAAACTGATTTTAAATCAGGAGAATAGACGACATTCACTTAAAATTTTTGTTCAGTTCAGATCTAACAAATTTTAATGACATAAAATGCTATTTATTAATAGTGATAGCATTCAGTTCAAACAAAAGTTATAAAATAAAGCATAAATCTAATGGTATTGGCTTGAAACTAAATATTTTTAAAATCGTTTTCCGAATTACGTTTCGGTACATGCATGTGTCATGTGTTGTACAACTAACCCATACACAATCAAAACATTCTTTTCGTTTATGGTAGATCTGTGAATTTTGTTCACTATCGAAACAAATTTGTTGATCGAATTCGGTAAGAGTTGTTTCCTCTTCCAGGAAGAGATAAACTTTGTCGTCGTAAACCACCTACAATATTTTAATAATAATAATAATAATAATAATAATAATAATATAATTTATTGTCCAACAGAACAAATATTCCACTTACTGGACAATTTCCAATTAAACAAAATAAAAATAAAAGAAAAGAAAAGAAAACAAAAATAGTAATATATACCAAAAAATAAAAATAAAATCACGTTTAGCATACCAAATAAAAAGTAAAGTAAATTACATTCAATAAATAAACTATCAATTATAGAGATAGTACAATATAAAAACAAACAAAATATGTACCCCACCATTTACCTTCTAATAGAAAATAAAAAATAAAACAATAGAGAAATTATAGAGCATATCTCACTATCTACATACACACACGAAATCGACGACGCACATGTGAACGCAACTCCGACAAAGAGCTGCAGTAAATATCCCACGAATCACTAGAACTTTCAACCATATTTAAGTAATGACAAAATAAATATACTGGAGCTCTTCTGCCAATGTTTGTTCGAGGTCTAGGACAATATAGTGTTACAGCGTATCTACAGTTAACTCTCGGAACATGAAAATTTAACTTTGACAACAGTGAACTACAGTCTATGTGATTATTAAGTAATTTATACAAAAAAGTTAAAACTGCTAATATTCTGCCATTATTGAGTGTATCAAAGTTAAATTTTTGCAGCAACAGTGTGTAAGAATATCCTCTCTTTGCCCAGGTTCCAACACCTTTGTAATACAAATGTTTTAAAAATTTCCGTTGCACACTTTCAAGTAATATAATTTGTTTGTTGTAATAAGGGAACCACGCAACGCAGCAATATTGTACGTTAGAACGTACCAATGCAAAGAAAAGAGTAACAAGTGCTTGAATATCACTAAAACTTTTACAGTTTCTCAAAATAAAACCTGACTGTCAGGAAAACTTACGATTTTGCGAAATATTTTTATGTCATCTGCAAACATGAGAACCTGAGAGTGTTTAAATACAGTTACTACATCATTAACATATAATGAAAATAATAAGGGTCCTAATGTAGATCCTTGTGGAATACCTGACAATGCAATACAGGGTGTTATTGAAAGGTACGTACAACAAAATGGACAGTTCTTCGCGAAGTCTAAGAAGTCGGAAAAACTCATTTTATCTTATCAAAATTTTAAGGGGAAAATTAACCCTTATCTAATCTTTTTAGACGCTACTGAAGGATAAATAGGTAAAATTAATTAATTTTAGTAAATCCTAGCAACTGTAACAATAAAATTTTTGTCAAGACTAAATGTTGCTATAGAAACGAAAGATGATCTTTTTATCAGAGGCGTACAACGAATTTGGACATAAATTTTAATAATTTTTATCTCTAAAAGGAGAACACTTTTACCTGAACTTTTTTTAACTTTATGCACCCATACTTCGAGACCAATTGCCGATTTTATTTTGTACGTACCTTTCAATAACAGGCTGTATAGCAATTTGATTTGTAGCCATTATTAAAAACATAATTTTTTCGGGACGATAAATATTTTGTTATTTGGGTCAGATTCAATAGTTTCTTTCACCTTCTTTGAAATTTTTTCATATATCAGTATGGATACGTCCACCAGGACATAGTGTTCAACTTCGGCAATCTGTGCACAGATAACCTGCATTGTCTCTATAGCTTTCACTTCTGCATCTTCGTAACGGAAATTTATGAAGTCAAAACTGAATAAATACAAGTAGTATATGTAACATTTTTATATCAATGCATCATTCTAAGAACTTTAAATTGAAAACATATTTAGAAGTGAATTTAATTAATAATCGATCAATATAATTACAATATACTAATATATTTAAATACAATTACAAGTTTTCCAAACACATATTATTTAAAATTTTGTGATGAAAGAGTTTTTTATCAGACAAACCAAGAAGAATAAATGCTGACAAATGGTCTAATTATTCTATTCCAGTCTTACGCTGAAAATGTAAAATTATTAACTACCAATCTTCACACCCTCTCTATTCTCTATTTTTGCAAAGTCCGCACATTCGATTAATTTGCGATCGTTTCTGAACAGAACAAAATTTCTACAACTAGTTATAACAAGAGACGGGCAAAAATAGTTCAAGGGGTCGATTATTTCTCCCACTCCTCATTATCATTGCCAGTCCCGTGTTGCGCGTAGGGGTTGGCAATTCAAACAGATTGGACAGTATACCAAATTTATTAGAAGAAAATGTCGCTGGTACGGGTGTTGGTTACAATTATCACTTGTCTGCTACAACTACAACTACTTCTTCAACTACAAATACAAATACAACTAACTTCTTCAGGTGGGAGCCAAAAGTTATATATTGACAACTATAATCATGTGACCGGCCATAGTTGCGGAGTAATGACATGACCTCCTTAATTTTGATTGAGTCGATACTTAGCAATCGCGGAAAAGGAAATGCAACTCAGCTTGACTTCGGACTCGCTTCCTCCTAACTACGCTTGCACATGCTGCCGCAGCAACCCCAATTAAACAGGATATTTCACAACAATTAACATTTTTCACTAAAAAAAAAAATCTTACTTGTATTTATGCAACACTAAGAACTTCTAAATACGTAACATAGTAATTCATGTAAACACCGAGTGATTATTAAAGTTTGTGATTTTTTTTTGACAGATTGGCAACATATTTAAAATTTTATAGTGGCATACCTGATTGTAAAATTATATTGATGGCACCCAGTCAGTAGCTGGTGTCTCAACCAATCAACACGTTTGTGAGGCGTGCTCATTTCAAAACTGACAACTGTGAATTGACATATTAACATGACTGCCAATAATTCAGAAATTTACTTCAATCAATAGTCACTGGGTATTTGTACCTTGTGATTTTTTAAATTTCTGCTCTAGTTGGTGAGGACGCGGACGTCAACAATTGAAAAGGTCGACGTAAGCGTCATAGCCAACTAGATCAGAAATTTAAAAAATCAACTCACATCATCATAACTTTAAAAACTTAAAATAATAATATGTATTAATTACCTGTTATTTATATAACCAGCAAAGAAATGGATCTTTCGCTTAAATCACTTATTTTCTCTGTTTGCTTGATTTGGTAAAGTTCTTGTAAATTTTTATACCCAGGGAGTCCTTCAGCTGTGCGAACATCATTAATTTTATTGTCTTGCAGTTGACCCCTTTTTCTTGACGCATACTATAACTGGTTTGTTTATTGTCTACAATCTCATCATCATCATTTTTGATGCTAGTTTTACTTAGAACTGTCGCCCCACTCTGATTTTGAGCATTTAATTACGTCAATATCTCTAACGATCAGTAATTTAAGTACGTTTTGTTTTTGTTTCGATTTAGTTAACATGAAATACAATGCGGTTTGTTACAGAAACATAACGGTCTAATTTTTTTTCTTGTAATTCGGTGTTTAGCAATATAAGTTCTGCAATATCTTTTTTTTAAATTAATAGTTGTGTTCTTGTTCGATTTTCTTCCCACCACTTATAACTAACATGTAATGCGTTATTGTTCTCTTCATTTAGAGCTATAGTTAATCTTCCACACTGTATTTTATTAATACTCCTGGCATATCATGTTTACCTTCTTTCCAGGCTCTCTCTAAAATTCTGCTAATATCAATACCAAGTGCACGATTTTTGTTGAAAGGCGAATCACTTTCTAGAATGCATTTTACAACAGCAATGTTTCCCTCTCTTAGTAGTGTAACAGTATCATTTTGGGTCCCTCTAACTGCCAGAAGCAAAAACTTTTCCATACCTGTTTGTAGTTGTTCAGAGGAGAGGAGTTTTATAAGTGCATCAAATAAATTAAAATATCCCATCCTTGCTGCATAGCATGCTAACGTTTCACAGTCGTAGTATTCAAAAATCACATCTTTTAAATCATCAAACTTTACCAATTCATTTTCCAAAATTAATTCAATTGGGTATAAACATTTTGCTTCCAAAGAAAAATGAACATAATCGAAACCGAAAAGACTGTCTTTGTCGTGGACGTTGGTGTTTTTTGTCATAAGAGTCCTTATCATCTTGACATACCAGTCATGTTCTCGTCTAACGTCGTCAGTAAAGATTGTAGGATATATCATTCCGCGTGTACAAAGCAAATGCAGTGCTGTTCGACCCCCTGCATCTTTGTTGTGCGCGGCCTTTTCATGCATTTTAAATTCTTCGAGGTTTTTATAAAGAACAGATAAATGTAACGGACTGTTTTCAGCGAGCATTATGTCAAACATAAGTCGCAAATTTGCGTATTTTTCAGAGAATATAGATTTCTTCAATGAAGGAAACATTTTTATATTATTTTTTAACCAGACACATGCAAAATATTCCGCAAAAGTTTGGTGATGAAAGATTGCTTGTTCACTTTCATTTATTTGTTTAATTATACCGTATCTGTCACCATTTGTTTTTATCTCTTTTATATAACTTTCTGCTTCTGAGTCCACATTTAGTATTTTCAAGTCGTCATGATTCAAACACGTTTTGAGGGCAATGGGTTCATATTGTTTCAGAAGCACATTTAAGTTTCCAAGCAGATGTATTTGCTTTTCGTTGGTAACTTTATTTATGGCAGCTTTCATCTTTCCGTCTAAGAAGAGTCTATACATTTTAGACAGTATAAACATTTTGTCTTCTTTAATATTTTTGAAAGTTTCGTCATTGTTCAGAAACATTTCTGTAATTATGTGTAACTGCAATGGTACACCTAACAAATCCTGAAGGTTGTTAAGATCTGCACTCTCAAATATTATTCTAAGAATGTTCTCTATATTTTCTTCTGAATATTTTTCTTTCAATTTCTGATATATATATTCTTTTTTTTGATCTTTATTTAAAGCTTGTATCCCTGTTGGCACCACGTTTAATATTTGGGTTATTTTACCACGTAAATTCTCTCTAGTTGAAATCCATAATTTAATACCAGTTGCTGCTTTATCTTTAATGAATTTCAAGATAAGATCGAGATGTCCACTATTGACTTCATCTAATCCATCGAGAAATAAATATAGCATTTTCTTGTTACGCAAACTATCCTTAACTTGCTTTTCTAAATCCCCGTTTGTATTTTTGTTATCAAAAATATGATTCCATAACGTTTATACTTCTGACTTTTCTCTCAGGAAAGAATTACAATTTATCAGGTCAACATAAATCCACCAATAATTTGGAGGACAATTGTTGTAAAAAACTTTCATTAATGTAGATTTACCCATTCCGGATGGAGCAGAAATTACGTTGATCGGATTGTCAAAATATCTAAATATATCTGTTTCTGTTATAGTTTTTGGTTCGTCCATATGTTCAGCTGACAGTTCATTTCCTTTCTGCAAGAGCAATACACAAGATTCGTCATCTATTTGCTGAAACAGATACAAGTGTGCTTTACTGGACATTTCACAAATTTGACGGAATTCATGTGGTGTACATTTGTTTTTTGTAAACAATAAAATAATAGGTTTTTTAAAATCATACTGTTCATTCAAGTAGTCGGAAACTTTAACACCATGAAAATTTATATCCGTTGATAGATGACTTTCAAATGTTGGATTGCAATTGATGATTACTACTGTGTTATTTTTTTGTGAAAGTATGAGAATCTTCTTTGTTTTTACACAAGTTGTCGATATATTTCTTATAATATGGAATTTGGATTCTTCTACCTTATCACTGCCAATAATTAATCTTGTCTGAGACATTTTTAGCAGTTCGCCAAGACCAATATGTCGAGCAATGTTTATATCGATGTCAACAAGTTGTTGCAAAGTAATTTCCTTCCTTCCTTGTAAAGAAATCGTAAAATGCTTTAAAATATCACAAACGAGGTCTCTGTTTGTAGATTTTTTCATGAAGTCTGAGAAATTTTGAAACACTTCCATTGTATTAAATTCACTTCTTGTTACGATAACATTTCCCACTAAAATAATTGTTTTCTTGTCGACGATTTTACTGAAAAGCTTCAATACATAGCTCCTGTGTTCACTTCCTTGACTCTTACGACCAAGGGCACCAGTCTTCGGGTAAACTGTCCTCATGTGACCAAATATCTTTAATTATGTCTATGGCATTTTTTTCTGCTATTGCCACAGCAAAGCCCATAACTGCTTGCTTAAGTTTTTCTGTTTTTTCATTTTTTTCATTTTTTTTAGTTTCACTCAACGTCTCAATGTAGGGCGATAAAACCAATTCAGTTAATTTCGTAATAATATCAAGTTTACTTAAAACAAACTTCTTTGACTGCCATTTGTACATAAAATCCATAAAGGAGTCGTAAATATTGCATTGTAATAAATTTTCTAACAGTTTTTCCACACGTAAACCGGTTTGCTTCAGGTCATCCTGCTCAGTAAAAAAATAAAATACTTGGTTCTTGTTATTTAAATCTTTTTTGATTTTAAAAATATTCTCTTGTCTTTCCTGTATCAGATTCAGGAGGAAGTTGTCATCTTCAACATTATCAGATTTTTTCACAAAAATTTTCTCTCCAATTTTCCTTTCGCCTTTGATATGTAGTGGAGCGTTTGTGTACAGTATGCAAACAAAATCTTCATTAATATCTCGATTTGATGATTTAAACGACAAATATTTTTCGACGTTGAAGGCACTTTTTTCTGTAACCAAATCTCTCTTGGTGATAGATTTTCCAGATTCTTTGTATTTGAATTGAAAGAGATAAGTGCGTGTGTCCTTGTTTTTAAAAGTAACCTTGATCTCCAAATCGTCGAAGGGCTTGTATTTTTGGTTATCCGTGGTTATTTCGAAATTTTCCACCTCATCACATGCAATTAGTTTCAAAGCATAGAATGCACACTTTATTCGTTCGTATTCTTTTCCATAATCTGAAGTTCCTTGACCTTTTTGGTAGGTAGGAAACTGATTTGCCTGAAACGAGAAGAAATAATTTTAAAAAATATTTTAAAACTAGCCACTAAAGGTGTACAAAATTTTATGTGTTTGGTATACGAATGGCTCGGAATGTTATTGAGTTTGACTATTGGCCACTCAAGTAAAATTCAGTTTCGGATTTTTTTCAACTTGATTTAAAACTTTATGAACTAGTTCATATCAAACAGGTTAGAAAGTGCTTTTATCTTCCTTATTTTACAAATTTGTGGGATTTAATATCAATATTTAATTTACCTTTTCTGAAGATAATTTGTTCTCCTTGTGTTTTTGCTTTATTAACTTTCGTTTTTCTTTCTTTTATGTTATTGTTCTTATTTCTTCTTGTATCCTGCATAATTCTCCTTCGAGTTGTCTTAATTTTTTGTTGTCTTCCTCACTGTCTGAACTCATGGTAAGAATGGAATTACTAGAAAAAAAATTGGTCTAAAGAGTTTAGACAGTACTTCCCTCGCTGTCGGAAACTTGACGACTGTATGCCTATTGTCTTTTTTTCTCATTACATTTTTGTAGTGGGAATTTAAAAAAAATTGCGATGACATCATCAACATTTTTGCAAGGACAAGTATATCAGTTGGGATAGATGTAGTGTAATACTAAGAATAAAATTATTGTATTCCCAAATTTTCGGGAAAATGAATTGGGTCGTTTTGAATATTGATTTGTTATAATCAATAAAATAACGAAACAATTTACTCACGTATACGGCGCCGGTGTGTAATATGCTAATATGAGAGGCAACTGAAAATCGTTTATGTATAAACATTCTTAATTTAAGATGACAAGCGTAACAGCATACGTGAGAGTCAAACAGAGAAACTGTAAACAAAACGACCATCGGTTTTATTGCTTCGACTTCCGCTTATTATATAAAACATTGAGTTTTATTTTAATTTTTGACGGTGGAATTCACAATTGGTTGATTATAAACATGTCTATTCCACATTCGCGGAACCTAGACAGCGCACACGTCTGTAATGTTAAAGTGGATGTAAATAAGCGTGCTACCCTTATGTTTCAACCGAGTTTTTACTTTAAAAAATTTTGTGTCTACCAAATTGGGTTGGTCCAATGTAATACTAATAATAAGTGTTGCCTTTAATTTAATCAATAAAATAAATTGACTTCATTAATTTTTTTGAGCCACCTCTTAAGAAAATCTAAAAAATATGAATGAAGTGATAAATCACAAGTACAGACTCATCATATTTTTACGCTTTAGATAGGATTTATTCGGCAAACTTTCGAGCTGACGTCATCAAATTTTTTGAGGGGGGATTAGCAAATACATTTTGATAAAAAAGTTAACGTGCTTATGATAACTTTAATACATCTCCTATGTTTCAAAGCATTCGGTTTTGTAGTTCCTGATTAACTCAATAAAATAAATTCACGCATTCATTAATTTTTTGAGTCACTCTGTATATGCAAATCGAAAAAATTTGAATGGAATGATAAATCACAAGTACGGACTCATCATATTTTGTACATTTTAGATAGGATTTATTCAGCAAAATTTTGGGGTGACGTCATCAATTTTTTAGGGGGGATGAGCAAATACATTTTGATAAAAAATTTACCATGCTTATGATAACTTTAAAACATCTCCAAGATTTCAAAGCATTCGGTTTTGTAGTTCCTGATTAACTCAATAAAATAAATTCACTCATTCATTAATTTTTTGAGTCACTCTGTATATGCAAATCGAAAAAATTTGAATGGAATGATAAATCACAAGTACGGACTCATCATATTTTGTACATTTTAGATAGGATTTATTCAGCAAAATTGTGTGGTGACGTCATAAATTTTTTAGGGGGGACGACCAAATACATTTTGATCAAAAATTTACCATGCTTATGATAATTTTAAAACATCTTCAAGATTTCAAAGCATTCGGTTTTGTAGTTCCTGTGTAAATCAGTAAAATAAATTTTACGCATTCATTAATTTTTTTGAGTCACCCTGTATATGCAAATCCAAAAAATATGAATGGAGTGATATATCACAAGTACAGACGCATCATATTTTGTACATTTTAGATAGGATTTATTCGGCAAACTTTTGAGCTGACGTCATCAAGTTTTTGGAGGGGATAACCAAATATATTTTGACTAAAGATTTATGATGCTCTTTAGAGCCTTAAAACATCTGCAACATTTTAAAACATTCGGGTTAGCAGATTCAAAATTAAATTGCAAAATGTTGTTTTATGATTTTGATTTTTTTTCCAAAAATCTGGACGTTTCGTGTAAAAACTGAATTCGGAGTCGTAAACTACATGTGTAGGACTATGTTATTTTATACAATTTAAGACCCATTTACTATGTACAATTTTGAAGTGACGTCATCGCATTAGTGGTGGGGATGATTATACAAATTTTGGTTAGCGTTTTACCATCTACATGATATTCCTAATATAAGTACAAACTTTCACAACAATCGGTCCAGTACTTTCGGAGATTATCTGTCTAATAAAAATCCGGGACGGCAGACGGACAGACGGACAGACGGAGAGACGGACAGACGGACAGACGGACAGACGGACAGACAGACGGACAGACAGGCGGACAGACAGACGGAAGTGGGAGGCCTATTTCTTCGTATTCTAGGAGTCATGAAAGATCGAGAAAACGTAAAAGTAGAGAGTCGGCCGACGGACTCGATTACAATACTTCCTTTGCTTACGCTCGGGAAGTAAAAATGATTGATCGAGCTTTAACGAAAACATTTGCACAGCCCTTTTTAATCAATGCTGAAATTTGGTCTGGACCACTTAATAACGAGGCTATTAGCTTTTTTATAGAATTAAAAATTTCTTTTTCACTAACAGATTTAATAATAAGGATGTTTTTATTTATGCAAGTGCTTACCAGCACATTTTGGGCAAGTGGGGTATTTTTCATTACACTGGTTTGATAAATGGTTGAAGCCAGAACACTTGTAGAACCGTCGAATTTCAGTTGCATCCCGTAATTTTGAAATAATCATACACAATCAACAATTTACCTGCTTTGATTATGTTGTTATATGAATTTAGATCAACAACGAATCTTTTAGAACATCGAGTTTTAATGAAGCTTCTACAGCCGTACATTCATTACATAAACAAAGTGGTGAAAACGATATTGTGCTAAAATACGAAAATGGCATTCTCAAAATTATCGCAAAACAAACAAAAAATGTGTAGTTATCCAACAGTCAGTATTTAAGTTAACATATCAAAATGTAAGGGGATTAAACACAAAAGCAGACGTTTTCTATCCGAATGTCATTGTGAATAACTCTGATATTGTTGCAATTACTGAAACGTGGTTAAAAGAAGATGTTTTGAATAGCGAATATTTAAGTACCAACTACAGTGTATATAGGGCAAACAACAGAGGTCGTGGCAGGGGTGTACTGTTTGCTGATAAATCACATCTTGTATCCAAGAAATTACCACTAGTATCACCGATTGCAGATGTAGATCTAATTGGGATATCTTTGACTCTAAATGATCAACTAAAACTAAATATCATTAATGTATACCTCCCTCCAGGGTCTCCCACTGAATATTATGATGTTATTTTTGAGTATTTAGAAAACAACTGCCTGTTATCTTCTAATACAGTTATTGTGAGTGACTTCAACATCCCGCAATATTACGTCCAAATGGTACTTAATAAAGCTTTAAACTATATATCGGGCTCTTACATTAATCCTGTTAGACACTAATGTCTGTTGGATATTAATAATATATTTATTTATTTATTTATTTATTTATTTATTTATTTATAAATAACGAAAATTAGAATATTTATTTAAAACTTTTAAGTCAGCATCATCGACCTTTAAGCATTTAGCGTGACATTTGGACTCGCATGAGAAACATTTTAAAGTTTTATAGAACTAAGTAATACTCTTATTATAAACTACCATTGAAAACAGAAATGGACTCGACCCTTAAAACTGCCAACACGGCAGTTTTATAAATGTTTCACTGCGTGATATACTGATATCTGTATTAAGTATTTATTCTTCAACATCTCTGCTTATAATGATGTTCTGAAGAATTCTGATAATAATATTCAATTAAAAACTTACAATTTAGTGTCCTCTATTCCTGCACTTTCACAAAAACGTAGCTTTGAATGTCTGTACTAACCAGTATAATCTTATCCGCTTATCACAATTTCATATCAGCTCGCGAATTTGAAGTTGACTACAACTGATATTCTACATAACAAATACTCTTACCTTTTACTCCATTGTTAATACATTCTGAAACTATTTATGAAAAATTTGAAGAAAAGTCTTCTCAGTGTAAGAGAAACAAATGCCAATAAAAATAGGCAGCAACAATTACAGTTAAATCCATAAGGTTGTAACCACTCGTTAAATTGTAAGGTTGGCATTACAGCCAATGGGGTTTTTCACATCAACAGATTGGTATCGGCGCATGTGTCAAAATTTGACAATTACGCACGAGAGAGTTTTATTTAAATATCTCACAGTTTGTTATTAAACCAAATCATTGAAAAATGGTACCAACACGGCATATACTGATAAATAAGCAGATAAAAATGGCACTTGCCAACTGCCACAATGAATTGAAACTTGCTTATCCCCAAGCATCCTCCCGAGAACTTGAATTCAAGCTTGGAAAAATCTTTTCAGTATGTAGTTATTCTTATACCATGGAAAGAGAGTACTATACTATGAGAGTAATGTATCGACATTCGGAACTTTTTTCATGTTATTACAACATGGTGGTCTGTCGAAGGACTTTTAGTTTTAACTACCTCAAGTTGAAAGTGTATATCGCTTTTAGTACAACATTGTCTTTTCAAGTTTTGTACCCACTCTTTATATCCTACACAATACAACTAAATGTCCCTCATTAAATTCAAGCACTGCATACTTTCCCTGTAAACTTATCATTAATTCCTATCCTTTCCATAGTGCTCCCGATGTCAAGCCCACAAAATTATAACCCAACACCAATCTGGAAAACCCTTACAAGAAGCAAAGTGGAAACCAAAACAAAAATCGCAGTGGTATTCAAATTAGGAATTTAAAGAAGATCTAACCTACTGTATATTTGACAAAAACAAAAAAAAATGAGTTTTTTACTCTTCAGGATTTGTTTATTTTTGCGAAAGAACATCCAGAATATACAGCAGGTTTAAATACTTTACATCGAGTATTAAAATCCATGGGATTCAGATTTAAGAAAGTTAACAACAGAAAAATAATTGCTTTGGTTATTTGGTCTATGTGTTCCCAATGTTTCTAACCACTCCTGTAACAGTAAGTTTAAATAAGCCGTCAAATTATTTTCAACATACCGATTATTTTAGCCTCTGAATTTTGTGAAGTTGCATTTTGTTCATTATTACCACTAAAATCTTCAGTACTTTCGGAGATTATCTGTCTAATAAAAAATCGGGACGGCAGACAGACGGACAGACGGACAGACGGACAGACGGACAGACGGACGAACAGACGGACAGACGGACGGACAGACGGACAGACAGACGGAAAAGTAGAGAGTCGGCCGACGGACTCGATTACAATACTTCCTTTGCTTACGCTCGGGAAGTAATAGTATAAGCATCACGAACGTTAAGGGGGTTTACTGGTCTCAGACAAATTGGAGACGTCGCTTCGCTCCGTCTCCAAACTTTTGCCTTCGACCAGTAAACACCCCTTACCGTTCTTAATACTTAATATACTATTAACTAATTCACAAGTACACCCTAATCACTAATACACTTAACTAACTATCTTATCCCTACGCACTCTACGTACTACCCTCGGTGGTTCCTACCCGCGAACTCGCCTAAAATCCCCTTGCTCACCCGTAGCGTCACCCCCACCCTGTTGGCTTACCCCGATTTTCCCTCAATTATGGGTTGCCTACCTACAGGCAAACAACACAACACAATATAGATATCAATCAGTAGAGACAGCTCGTGTCGGCGCCTTTGTTCTTTCTGAGATGACCCGAATTTTAAGCCGTCATGGGTAGTCGTTGCCTAAACTATTCCAAGATGTCGCCCCCCCAATTTAAAAAGTATCACTTCATTTACAATTTCAAAAATTGGTCTAAAGAGTTTAGACAGTACTTCCCTCGCTGTCGGAAACGTGACGACTGCATGCCTATTATGTTTTTTTTTTCGCAGTGGATTTCAAAGAATTCGGTTTTGTAGTTCCTGAGTAAATCAATAAAATAAATTTACGCATTCATGAATTTGTTTGAGTCACCCTGTACATGCAAATCCAAAAAATATGAATGGAGTGATAGATCACAAGTACAGACTCATCATATTTTATACATTTTAGATATGATTTATTATTCGGCAAACTTTTCAGCTGACATCATCAAGTTTTTGAAGGGGATAAGCGAATATATTTTGTCTAAACATTTATTATGCTCTTTATAACTTTAAAACATCTGCAAGATTTCAAAGCATTCGGTTTTGTAGTTCCTGATTAAATCAATAAAATAAATTTACGCATTCATTAATTTTTTTGAGTCACCCTGTATATACAAATCCAAAAAATATCAATGGAGTCATAAATCACAAGTACAGACTCATCATATTTTGTACATTTTAGATAGGATTTATTGAGCAAAATTTAAGGGTGACGTCATCAATTTTTTTAGGAGGGATGAACAAATACATTTTGAACAAAAGTTTACCATGCTTATAATAACTTTAAAATATCTCCAAGGTTTCAAAGCATTCGGTTTTGTAATTCCTGATTAAATCGATAAAATTAATTCACGCAATCATTAATTTTTTTGAGTCACCCTGTATATGCAAATTCAAAAAATATGAATGGAGTGATAGATCACAAGTACAGACTGATCATATTTTGTACATTTTAGATATGATTTATTCGGCAAACTTTTGAGCTGACGTCATCAAGTTTTTGGAGGGGATAAGCAAATATTTTTTGACTAAAGATTTATGATGCTCTTTATAACCTTAAAATATCTGCAACATTTCAAAACATTCGGGTTAGCAGATTCAAAATTAAATTGCAAAATGTTGTTTTATAATTTTGATTTTTTTTTCCAAAAATCTGGACGTTTCGGGTAAATCTGAATTCGGAGTCGTAAACTACATGTGTAGGATGATTAGACAAATTTTGGTTAGCGTTTTACCATCTACATGATATTCCTAATATAAGTACAAAATTTCACAACAATCGGTCCAGTACTTTCGGAGATTATCTGTCTAATAAAAATCCGGACAGACGGACAGACGGACAGACAGACGGAAATGGCAGACCTATTTCTTCGTCTTCTAGGGGTCATGAGAGATCGAGAAAACGTAAAAGTAGAGAGTCGGCCGATGGACTCGATTACAATACTTCCTTTGCTGACGCTCGGGAAGTAAAAAATTGATTCGTGTACGCAATTTATTGCAAACTGTGTAGTTTGCTCAAATCGTATAATCGTGAATCGCAATAAGAAAAAAAAAAGTCGATATGTATTTAATTTATAAACACGATGATTTGTTACAGTTTTTATTTTATTACTTATACAATTTGACAATTCGCACATTCTTTCCCCGAATACTTGAGGTTTAATTATCATTGTAAAAATAATGTAATAAATTCATCTAAAAAGAAAGAGGTTTATTTAAGAAAAAATAAATAAAATAAAAATTAAAATACAAAAATGAGAAAAGTTAATGCTGCCAAATTATTTTCTTTCTATTAATTTTTTCACCTTTGGCATTTGTAAATTTAAAGCTAGCATTTACAAATTTTAGTGCATAAAATAATCTCATCCTAGCATGCAAAGCAAGCAAATAATCGTATGGAAAGTTTTGGCATGGATGAACAAATCTAGCTTGCTTATATAAATTTAAAAATTTCAACGAAGTAGTTGTTTGTAAAATTATATTTTCAAAATTTTCACTAAACATTTGCTCTAATTCACAAATGTAAAAAAAAGAAATAATCGTTTGGCATATATAATTTACCAAATAACTCGCAATTCTTCGTTTGGTAGGCTCTGAAATGTGAATATATGCTTGTGTTGTTTAAACTTTTATTTCATTTGCATATTTTTCACATTCACTACAAGTATGTACTAATAAATATTTCCGAATTAGGTAGCCACAGATATAATAATTGCGTTTTGTTCAGCTGTGTGAAAGTGATAATCACAATTTTTTAAGGTGGTCTTCCGCATCGTAGTGACTGATTCTTCTTCATTAAAACGACGACCTACATTTAACTTTAAAATTTCTTCCATATCAGGCTGGCAGTTTTGATTACCTGTGTTCGATTCATCAAAATAATCTCGTATTATTAATTTTCTAAAAGCCATTTGAAATTGATTAGATGTGGGGTTAATAGAATTTCCATTTTGTTTGCTAATCCATCCAAAATAGTTTTCTAGTGCGTCTTGGCAAAGGCGTCTTGTTAATATATAGTGAAACCCATTTTACCTAACAACTTAACCCGTAAGCGTAATATCATATAAAGTAAAAGTTTTATTTAAAAAAAATTATTACAAAAAAAATGCATATTTGTCGGCTCACATAAAGTGCAGGTAATTGGTATGGGTCGACGCAGGTAAGAATAATTAAGGAATTCATGAAACCGGAAGTCCATAGGGATTAAGCGGAAAAGGATATTTGACAAAATGTACGGCTTGGGTCATTTTTACCCACGCGCGACTGCTTATGGGTTAAGCAACGTCTCAAAATAAAACTCAAGATTGTGTAGGTCAAAAAATATATATATATACATGATGAATAAAAAATTTGTTTATTGAGAGAAGGTCTGCTTATATAATTTTTTGTTACGTGTAGTTTGTTTCTTATTATTTTTATATTTAATTTTACCACAACAACGGAATCACATATAATAAATTTTTATTATTTATTTCATAACCACCGTTGTTGTCCCTTTGCGACGACTTTTTAAACAAAAAGTGTGTTATGTTTACTATCTTTTCCAAGAATTCCAAACACGATGGAGAGAATAAGGCGCACAACAGGGATCCTGTATGAAAATTCATCGGTAAAAGATTTTACCTTTTATTGTGAAAATTACATTTTTATACTATTTGTACAATTCTACCGGAAAAGCAGTCTTATTAAACAAGCAAAACCGGCAAAAATATTGTAACAAAACTGCCAAATTTCAAATATTTTAGATGTCAGTTGGGCGCCCTCATTCGGTCATAATGCGAACGACCACCCACGAAAACGGGTCACGAAAAACGACGAGCTGTCTCTACTGATTGATATCTATACTGTGACACAACAACCCTTACATTGTGTATAATGGGTTACAAATCTAACTCTTCCACTCAAGTTTATAAAATGTAACATGTATGTAGACAAAAAAATTTAAATCGCATAGTTAAATCTTCAATCCAAACTGCCGTCCCTCCAAATGTGGTGTACTGTTGAGAAAACGATTTGCCTCTACTTTTCGACCACAACATTGGAAAAAATGATCCGACTGCTTGGATTTTTTGATTAATGGTTTGTCGTCAACAGGTTGTGAAATTTTGTTGCGTTTGATAATAATACGTTCGAAAATTAGAAATAAAATCAAGCATAGTAGTAATACCCACAACAATATGTTGGACCAGAACATCCAGCTACTTGTAGAATCTGTAAAAAATAAAAGTAGCAAGATATAATTCATAAAACTGTGACTAATATATATAGAACGTTTCAATAAAAACTACGCCAATTTTTACAGAAATGTTTACTTGTCTAGGTTTACTTATTTTATTTAGGCAAGGATACAGTATTTGAGTATGTTATTTAAAATGATGATCTTTTTGTTTTTTAAACCTAAAATGTTAGTGATATTTTAGATTTTCAGTTAAGCAAAAATGCGATATTTTGTATGTGCAATTTTTTTGTTGCTGAAGGCTCTTTAGTTGTTTTATTTAGATTCCAGAAAAAGAAGTTGAGAATTACACAATATTTCATTGTTTTCAAATGTGTACTGAATTGAAGCTTATTTTATTTTGAGTAACATTTTAACAGCATGTCAAAAAACTCAGTGAAAGCAGCGACATTTTTAGCAAAAGCTAAGTTGTTGATTATTACTGTAGATGAAATTTTAAGAATTGCAATTAGAAAAAACAAGATAGACGTGAATACGCACTAAATTAATGTTGATAATCACTACTTACCATTTTTTTCATATTTCTTTAGATTCTCATTGTCTTTAGAGATAATACTGGCAGATTTGTCATTATGACTGCCTTGACGTTCATCTCCAGTGGCAACCTCTACAATTTTGTACATATTATCTATTAGTTCATGAAGTTTTAAAAATGCATACTTTCATCACACCAACTGCCTTTATAATACGGATGGCACTGACAACCCTGCACATCGCAAATCTTATGTTTTTGACATTCCGAATATTGGTCTCCTAAAATGCTTGCACAACTGATGTCACATTTCGCGCCGACCATGCCCAATGGACAATTAACGAGCTGTCTAGAAGATTCTGTTGGCTTTATACCTCTTTTCATTCTGTTCGATTCTGTGGTGTCTGGCAATAAATAGTTGCAACTTATGGCCTCTGGACTGATGTCAGGAGTAATTTTATATGCCACTAAAAATAAAATTTAATTTAATATTATCGATTTTTGAATTGAGTTAGTAAAATTAAATGAAAACAAAAATATTTTTAGTAACGAGTTGGTGATGAATCTAGGGTTTGCTTACCCACATTGTGTCCATACTCATAGAGTCTTGCATCCAGTCTCCAGTATCCGTGTTCCGTTTGATTGTTATTTTTTCTAATGAAATTTACCTCGTTTGTTGCAGAGGAAGTTAGATTAATTTTGTGTGTCTGCCATTCTTCAAAATCACTCGTTTCTGTGGTATTTGAAGTGATATTTTCTCGGTGACCGCCATATTCAACTTCTAGTACACATGATCTACATAATGAAATGTAGAGTATAATAAAAGAAGGATTATTGACGTGAGGAATTCTCAAAGTCGTAGGACCATTTGTTGTATTTGTGACGTTAGTAGCTTCTTTATATTTGCCTGAAAAAAGTCAAAATTTATTTTTAGAACAGTTGCTTTTGAAGCTAAAGCGGGGAGCGACGGTTGGTGGTATATTCAGATCAAAATATACCTACGCTAGAAAAGTATGTAGAGCATACATGTTTGTGAAAATGAACCAGGATCTGACTTTATCTTCGCTTCAGTACTTTCAGATTAAGTATCCTTAAATATATTTAATAATAATAATCGTTTGAATGATACTTGCATGTTTAAAAATCAGTTTTCAGAAATATTTGCTCATTTAATATCTCAACGAGCTTGAAAACTAAGAAACCGAGAGTATGTTCAGTAGTATTCAGATATTTCATCCTAATTAATTTTTACACTAATTTTCGACTAATTTTATGAATTAAAAAAATTGGTCGAAAGTTATCTCGACAGAACTTCCCTCGCTCCTGACGTACAGTCCAACAAATATTGCTTCTCTGAAAAATTATAAAATTTAATTTTACGGAATTTTAGTTTTTCGTGATAACCTCTATGGAATAAAAACGATATAGAAAGTATTGGTCACAATGTAATAAAAAAAAAGAAAGTTAGGAACCGCGAGCAGATTTGATATTCTTAAAAAAAGACACTTGGGGCCCTCGATAAGACTTCGCCTTATTCTTTATTACTCTGTCAAATTTTACATTACAGTATCAGAAAGTACTCAAATTTTTGGTATAAAGCAATTTAAGAGACAAATATCAGATTATCTCATCAAAAATGCATTTTACAATTACTATGAATTTTTTTTTATTTTATTTTTATATTTATATTTATATTTTATTTATTTTTTCTTACTATAGCTTACATATTGTAGTTTTATATTTTTGGTGTAAATTGGAGAAATTCCGTAATAAAGTATTATTATTAATTCCTCAGTGACACCTCAGTAATTGTGCCCCCATCCAATGTTTTGACTTGATTTTAAAGTTGTAAAAATCCGTATGCATGTAATGTACCTTGTATTGATTTTGTGACGTGTACAACGACTTCTGTTATATGTATTAATAAACATTAGTATTATTATTATTAAATAAGGACAGTTGGGACCCCCAGGAAGGGTTCACATTCTTAAAACAAGACAGTTGGAACCCCAGAAAAGGTTTCACATTCTTAAAATAAATCGACTCAGTTTAATTTTTTGTAGACACCCCGCCTAAGCAAATCAAAAAAAATATTTATGCAGTGATAAATCACAAGTCATCATACTTTAGACATTTAGGATAGGATTTTTTCAACAAAATTTTGGACATCAATTTTTCAGGGCGGATGAGCAAATACATTTTGATCAAAAATTTACCATTCCGTTTTGTAGTTCCTGATTAAATCAATAAAATAAATTTACCCATTCATTAATTTTTTTGAGTAACCCTGTATATGCAAATCCAAAAAATATGAATGGAATGCTAAATCACAAGTACAGACTCATCATAGTTTGTACATTTTAGATAGGATTTATTTAGCAAAATTTTGGGGTGACGTCATCAATTTTTTAGGGGAGATAAACAAATACATTTTGATCAAAAATTTAACATGCTTATGATAACTTTAAAGCATCTTCAAGATTTTAAAGCATTCGGTTTAGTAGTTTCTGATTAAATCAATAAAATAAACTCACGCATTCATTAATTTTTTTGAGTCACCCCGTATATGCAAATCCAAAAAAATATTAATTTAATGATAATTCACAAGTACAGACTCATGATATTTTGTACATTTTAGATAGAATTTATTCGGCAAACTTTTGAGCTGACGTCATCAATTTTTTGGAGGGAATAAGTAAATATATTTTGTTTAAAATTATATCATGTTTATCATAACTGTAAACCATTTGCAAGATTTCAAAGCATTCTGTTTTCCAGATTCCAAATTAAACTGCAAAATGTTGTTTCACAATTGTGATTTTTTTTCCAAAAATCTGGACGTTTCGGATGAAAACTCAATTCGGAGTCTCAAATTACATGTGTACGACTATGTTATTTTATACAACTGAAAACCCATTTACTATGTACAATTTTGAAGTGACCTCATCACATTAGTGGTGGGGATGATTAGACAAATTTTGGTTATCCTTTTAGCATTTACGTGACATTCCTAATATAAATACAACTTTGGCAACAATCGGCCCAGTACTTTCGGAAATTATCTGTCTAATACAAATCCAGGACGGCAGACAGATGGACAGGCAGATGGACAGACAGACGGATGGACAGATGGATAGACAGACGAAAACGGGAGACCTATTTCTTCGTCCTCTAGGGGTCATGAAAGGTCGAGAAAATGTAAAAGTAGAGAGTCGGCCGACTGACTCGATTACAATACTTCCTTTGCGTACGCTCAGGAAGTAAAAATTAATAAAATCATAAGCAGTTATATCAGTCATGCAATTATCGAAACGTCATTATACTTACCAGAATGAATTTTAAAATATGCTTGATTTTTCGTTTTCACTGCCAGGTTAGTAGGTTTTAAGTTATGTGTTCTAATGCGATCATTGTTCATGAAGTAATTTACATAGTTATCTTTAAAAAAAATTGTAAATGTAGTCCATTCTTCCCTATTTTTGGGAGATGGTTCCAAATAATCCAGTGACTCTTCATCATCAACATATAATTGTATATCTTCCCCCCGGTAAATTGAGAATGTTACAGAAGGGTTGAAATTAGGAAAATATTTATAGTTTGTATTGAGTACAGGGAACTCTGAAAGACAAAATAGATCAGTCAAAAAAATCTCATATGCATATAGGTATATACATATATAAGTTGTAAATATCTCTTGCTATTGTATAACTGTTCGTCTCGTTATTGCCAATAAAATTTTATAGGGTACAATGAAATTTCCAAAACTATAAAAGAATTGTCGCCAACGAAACGAGATATATGTGTTCCACTCAAATTGTAGCAAATATTTTAGCCGCAACTTTAAAATAAATGAATGTTTATCGCATTGTTACAAAAAAGATTTTTAGTGGTAAAAAAATTCCACCACCTATCAATTGAGATTTTGCTGCGATGTTTTAAGCAAGGAAAGTGACTGCACTTTGCTAATGAAAAACAAGTCTAAAGTTATATAGACACCAAAATCAATTAGAAAAGTGCAATTTCTAAGAGGAAATATCTACATTATAAACAACAATAGCGTACTGTTAACAACAGATGCAAAAAATTGTTATCAAAAACAACGAATTAAAATGTCAGTTTAAAGAATTGTTATTAAAAAAATTTAAGCCAGTCAACCTTTACACGATATCGTGACACAAACTTTTTGATGGGTAGAATTCTGTTGCAACTCACTTGCATCACAAAAATATCCGTTATTGGTTTCTTGAATTGTAAATGTATGCTTAGATTTGAATATTGTCATTTAAAAGAAATACGTACCTTCCCATCTTTTGTCGGTTACCACTGATATGATGTTACTTAAATCGTTTATTTTCCAGTCGTCGTTTTCCCAATTTTCAATATCCAATAATTTTTTTCCATACTGAATCCCTTCTAGTGGTGGGTTCGTAAACATTGCCAATTGAAAATCTTCGGGATGCACACAATATATGTGAGTTTTATTTACGAAGCGTATAATTTCATCCTCTTCTATTGCGAGAACGTCGAATGACGTTATTAATGATGATAAAGTAAATAAAGTTAACGCAAATTTCCTCTCTTTTAAAACGGCCATAATCTGAATTACTTGCGTTCTTGTCTTAGCCGTATCCTAAAACAACAAAAAGGGTACTTCATTTAACGTAATTTACGCTGAGTAAACTAACGAAGTTTAAAGTTTGAAAATATGAAAAATTACAAGAGTTGTTAGCGCAGTTCCGTTTGAGCGCATTTCGCAATTTATAGGACACATCATTTTGCACCCGTTCACTCCCCCTCCCCAGTGAACTTAAAAACTTACGAAAACCACACAATCTTTCTTCCCCTATTTCCCCCCGAAATTTGCAAAATTTGGAAAAAACGAAAAGCTTAACAGATAATGATCACAATTGTGAGCAACTTATTACAGACATCTTCAAAACAACAAACAGTTTCTCTGCTCTTAAGAAAAACGTTAAAACAATTAGTTATTATTATTTCTTGTTGACTTTACTTTGTTGCTATTACACATTTAAACAGCGAAAAAGTTTTTGTTCATTCATAAGGAAAACATACATTTTAGTGTTTTTTTTTGTGTTTAAGTATTTACCGGTTTCTGTCTATTAAATGCCTGTTTACATTTATAAAAGTTGGCTGGTAGGAAGCCATAACAGACTATTGCATCTGTATCCTGTGTGTAAAATCGGTAGGGTAATATATTACCTTACCGAAATGTCAATTGTCAGCATTTGTCAAGGAATTGAAAGCAATGAATGTAAAAAGCAAGAAATGTAAGTAACTTTACCGGTTTTATTTAAACTGTTAATGCTTGACTGGCTGCATTTTTAACATTTTCGGGCAATACGTCGCCTAAATCCATCATTTTACTTCCCGAGCGTAAGCAAAGGAAGTATTGTAATCGAGTCCGTCGGCCGACTCTCTACTTTTACGTTTTCTCGATCTTTCATGACCCCTAGAAGACGAAGAAATAGGTCTGCCATTTCCGTCTGTCTGTCCGTCTGTCTGCCGTCCCGGATTTTTATTAGACAGATAATCTCCGGACCGATTGTTGTGAAATTTTGTACTTATATTAGGAATATCATTTAGATGGTGAAACGCTAACCAAAATTTGTCTAATCATCCCCACCACTAATGCGATGACGTCACTTCAAAATTGTACATAGTAAATGGGTCTTAAATTGTATAAAATAACATAGTCCTACACATGTAGTTTACGACCCCGAATTGAGTTTTTACCCGAAACGTCCAGATTTTTTGAAATAAAATCAAAATTATGAAACATTTTGCAATTTAATTTGGAATCTACAAAACCGAATGTTTTGAAATGTTGCAGATATTTTAAGGCTCTAAAGAGCATCATAAATCTTTAGTCAAAATATATTTGGTTATCCCCTCCAAAAACTTGATGACGTCAGCTCAAAAGTTTGCCGAATAAATCCTATCTAACCTGTACAAAATATGATGAGTCTGTACTTGTGATTTATCACTCCATTGATATTTTTTGAATTTGCATATACAGGGTGACTCAAAAAAATTAATGAATGCGTAAATTTATTTTATTGGTTTACTCAGGAACTACAAAACCGAATTCTTTGTAACCCACTGCGAAAAAAAAAACATAATAGGCATGCAGTCGTCACGTTTCGGACAGCGAGGGAAGTACTGTCTAAACTCTTTAGACCAATTTTTTTAATAGAAATATTTCATATGCAGCGTGTTACAAATATTTTTGAAAAATTTGGGAACCAGTCATTTTCATTTATTATTTCATTTTTGCATCCCAAAAAATTGCACATCTCTCTTTGAAAATAATATTTATTTATTTTATTATTCATATCGGCCATTTTATCTGGATGAACCGAGATTTTATTATCCAATGTTAAAACTGTGAAACCAATCAACAAAATACTAAAACTGTATTTTCTCACATACCTTTTTTTATGTTCACCTCCTGAAATACTATTTTTCTAAGGTGTATCTATATCTTAAACATAAATATATTTCTAGGAATCTCTTAAAAACGTATGGCTTTGATAACTATCTCAATAACAGCGACAAATTTCTGAGAATTCTTCAAGACTGATAATACGCATAAGTAGGTAAGATCAGTAAATTAATTTATATATATATATATATATATATATATATATGATATTATCAGACAACTACGTATTTACAGATAAGTAAGGTATTTTGTTTTTCTGGGGCAAATTTTTTACTTTTGAATTTTCATATTTTTTTATTTTACTCAACTAAATTTATTGATTAGGTTACTACAGCACCCTACGTCTGAAAATGAAAAAAAAAAAATATTGTTATTATTCCATATGTTTAAATTTCTCAAAGAAATGGTATTGGTATTGTCGAAAGATGATTGTTTTAGTACACTCCCATGTAATTTTTCTAAAATATACTATACAATCTGGCGGATCGCAATTCTTTATTCTATTTTAGGTTTTATCAAGTTATATGATTAATAATGAATTAACCATACATAGATATCATCAAAAATATGATAATAATAATGTACTATAGGCATATACGAATTTTCAAGGGCCAAATGTGTGACAAGTGTCTAAGTTTCAGTTGTTTGAGAGATTTAAATTCGACCACAGCTTTTCTCATTAAACTCAGATGGAAAATTAGCAAATCAACTTTTTAATAGTAACACTATTTCGTTTGCAGAGTTATTCTTAAAAACTTCAAAAACTAATTATTTTGAATTATGGTTTTATTTTTCATTCCGACAAATCGTGGCACTTTGAGAACAATATGTTTGTTTTATCATGTTATCACTGAAGAATATTAATGATTTTAGAATTCGACGTTGGACGTTTTCAACAGCGGCAATGTGCACATTATACTGTGGTGACCACACAACAGAAGCGTATTCAAGTCGAGATAACAAAAGTTATGTAGGGTCACGAGGGGCTTGTTGTAACAGTTTTTAGGAAAACGAATATAATTTGGTATCTATTAGCTGTTTGACCATTATAAAAGTATCTATTGGTAGTCTAACTATTCCCCTATTGGACTGAACAGGCAAAAGGTCAAAATTGTTCATCTTCACTTCTCACCAGGCATTTTCTTAAAAAAAGTGCATTGTTACAACTTGCCCCGTGGTTGGGGCTAGTTGTAACAGCCATGAGACAGGTAGTACCAGTAAAAATAAAGCTGATGTTGATACATATTTAGACTTTATTTTTCAAAAGTCAACACAACACTTCATTATATACAATTTTTTTTCAGTAAAACTGAAATAAACTTTTAGAAAAAGAGTTAACATTAAAAATTTGAGTGTTGTCTTCCTTTTTCTTAATATATCTGGAAAGCGATATATGGCGTAGGTCAAAATTTTGGCTCGCTTTTCGTATGCTAGGTACAAGATTTGTAGAAGTGAATTTGGGATAAGTTGTAACATGTTACAACTTGCCCCAAAGCTATTGTTACAACATGCCCCGTAGCACAATTTTCTACATTTAATTACATTCCGACAAAATTATATAGCTTAGCGTCAAAATGTGTAAGGAATATCAAAGCTGAGTAATTTTTGAGCTACATGCTAAACTAAAAGTTTTAAATTAATTAATAACTGATACGAAAAACCAAATTTTACTAAAGCAATATTTTACATTACTTGGCTAAAACGAAACACGTGCACACATCCACTTACTGCGCTGGCTCAAGGAACAGTGGTTGTGATGACATGATGTCTTATGGTGCAAGAATTAAATTCAGTAAAATACCTGACGTTAAAGAGTTTAAATTGTGGGTAAAAATTTAGTGTTACAACTTACCCCTGCTACAACAAGCCCCTAGTTCCCCTACAATAGTTTAAGAGTTTCAATATCATTGAATTTACGTTCATTGCGAATAACAAAACCCAAAGAACGAAAAGCTGATGTAGCAATAGATTCAATGTGCGAGCCAAATGAAAGTTTAGGATCAAATAAGTATGACCCCAAGATCACATACAACGTGAGGTCCTTTAAGGGTGCTGTTATCAATATTATAATTAAATTTTATATCCCTAATTTTTCGACTGAATGTCATAAGATAACATTTATCTTTGTTCAGTAGGTAACAAATGATTATCTACACACTATTGAAATGCTTTATCCATGCTTTGTTGCAAACGTAGACAATCATCATATCATTCAATAACACAATAGATCTTAAGGATCAAATAAAAGAGAACGAACATCAATCACGTCAATAATGTCATTGATAAACATACGAAACAAAAGCGGCCCCTAAACAGAGTCCTGGGGTACTCCAGACTGCTGAATAAAGAACTTTGATTTGAAACCATTAACAGTGACAAAGAAAGAACGCTCATTTAAATAGGAATTCATTAATAATGTTATGGAATCCGAGAAACCAAAAAGCTCTAATTTCTTTACCAATAGACGATGGTCAGTTTTATTAAAACTTTAGAAAAATCTCCGTACATGACATCGACTTGACTATTATTATCTAAAGCCTGAGAAAAAACTGTGTAATCATTTGTGAAATATGACCTGAAAAGCTGGAGTAAATTACATTTTCAAAAATCTTTACAAAATTGCAGAGGATTGCCACAGGCCTATGATTCGAAATGTCTGATTTATTCCCCTTTTTGTAAACGGGACAAACTCTCGAGATTTTCCAGTCCCGAGGAAATAGGTACACAGGATGTTAAAATCAGATTAAAAATGATTGATCGAGCTTTAACGAAAACATTTGCACAGTCCTTGTTAATCAATGTTGAAATTTGGTCTGGAACACTTAATAACGAGGGTATTAGCTTTTTTATAGAATTAAAAATTCTTTTTCACTAACAGATTTAATAATAAGGATGTTTTTATTTATGCAAGTGCTTACCAGCACATTTTGGGCAAGTGGGGTATTTTTCATTACACTGGTTTGATAAATGGTTGAAGCCAGAACACTTGTAGAACCGTCGAATTTCAGTTGCATCCCGTAATTTTGAAATAATCATACACAATCAACAATTTACCTGCTTTGATTATGTTTTTATATGAATTTAGATCAATAACGAATCTTTTAGAACATCGAGTTTTAATAATGAACCTTCTACAGCCATTACATAAATAACGAAAATTAGAATATTTATTTAAAACTTTTAAGTCAGCATCATCGACCTTTAAACATTTAGCGTGACATTTGGACTCGCATGAGAAACATTTTAAAGTTTTATCGAACTAAGTAATACTCGTATTATAAACTACCATTGAAAACAGAAATGGACTCGACCCATAAAATTGCCAACACGGCAGTTTTATAAATGTTTCACTGCGTGATATACTGATATCTGTATTAAGTATTTATTCTTCAACATCTCTGCTTATAATGATGTTCTGAAGAATTCTGATAATAATATTCAATTAAAAACTTACAATTTAGTGTCCTCTATTCCTGCACTTTCACAAAAACGTAGCTTTGAATGTCTGTACTAACCAGTATAATCTTATCCGCTTATCACAATTTCATATCTGCTCGCGAATTTGAAGTTGACTACAACGTAGGGCTACAAGAATACCGCAATAATGAAAATTCCAACTTTATCAAATAGACGCGTAAGAGGTGATCTTATCACGACATTTCAAGCCATGTCCAATAAGTCGTCTCCGATACGCAAGCTCTTCATACTTAATTCACATACTCTTACCAGAGGACATTCTTTTAAATTGGCTAAAGAAAAGTTTAAGACCACGGTAAGGCAGCACTTCTTGAGTAATAGAGTTTTTCAGCAATGGAACTCTTTGCCTGAAGAAATAGTCAGTTCACAGTCAACAATGGCTTTTAAAATTAAATATGACATTTACAGCTCCCAATAGAAATATTGGGTACTTCCCACTTAACGCGACGGCGCGGGCATAACAGGCATAGACCTCTGCCCGATCGCCTAACATAATAATAATAACAAACTGATATTCTACATAACAAATAGGTACTCTTACCTTTTACTCCATTGTTAATACATTCTGAAACTATTTATGAAAAATTTGAAGAAAAGTCTTCTCAGTGTAAGAGAAACAAATGCCAATAAAATTAGGCAGCAACAGTTACGAGTTACGACCTCTTCAAGAATTTTTAGATACTTATATGGGTGGTCATTATTCATCATCTTTTTTTCTACTACAAAATTCATATTATTCACCCCAAAAGGATTCGTTGTTAAAGTTCGTCTTTCTTACTCGGATGTTCAATTGAAAAAGTCATCTAGTTAACGTTGATTTTTGATAGAACACTTAGGGAAAAACGCATTTGGCAAAGTTGTTGAAAAGCGTCACTTTGATAATATGAAAAAGTTGTTAGCTGGTGTCGATTAAAATTTGAGTTTATTGTGACATATGTTCTAAAAATATTTACAAAAAATTGGTCGAAAGTTGTTTCGACAGAATTTCCCTCGATGTACAGTGAAACATTTCCAGCATTTTCGAGTTGAGTTTTTCTTTACAGAATTTCGTGATGACATTTTTGCAAGGACATTTGGTTATCCCTCCAAAAACTTGATGACGTCAGCTTAAAAGTTTGCCGAATACATCCTATCTAAACTGTACAAAATATGATGAGTCTCTTCTTGTGATTTATCATTGCATTCATATTTTTTAGATCTGCTTATACAGGGTGACCCAAAAAATTAATGAATCAGTTAGGCAGTTATTATTGATCAAATTACGAACGAGCCGTAACTTCCAGAGTCAAAGCGAATTTATTGAAATATCCCATCACAGGACTCTAATGAGAAGAATCTATGATAAACATAAAGACACGATTCTGATAGCGAGGGAAGTACTGTCTAAACTCTTTAGACCAATTTGTTATTTCTACATACATAGAGTAACAATAATTTACAGTTTGCTACGCCGGAATCATAAAATACAGATAATATCAAATCCAACAGAAATAACCCTAATTTTTATTTTTTTTATTTTATTCTATTACGTCCCCCAACAGGCACCGGGGCCCAATTACAGGGGAACGGCACATACACGTTACACCCAGAGCCATGGCGGGACTCGAACCCACGACCCAAGGTGTAGCGGGCAAGCATGATGCTAACTAGCCCACCCCGGGTCCTAATCTATTAAACTAAATATTTGTGTGGCTTGTTTAAATATAGGTAGATAAAGAAGGATCGTACGACCATTTTCCAAACGGGTTTTTCCTGCAAACCAATTACTGTTGATCGTGGTTTTTCCCCACTTCAAATTTTTTGATGTCGTTATCAACATTTTATCAGTTTGGGCAAATCCAATGCAACACTAATAATAAACATACTTATAGTACTGAATCATCCTATAAAAGTAATTTTAGTTAGTCATATAATTTTGCCTATTTTGGGTAGAGTTTATTGGAAAATTTTGAGATGTCATAATGAATTTTTTGGGAGTGGGCAAATTTTGATTAACGACTGAGGACAATATTCGTGACACATTAAACTTGTAAAAGTTGACAACTTACTGTAAGAAAGGTTTGTGACTGATATCTACATTATTACTAATTTTGAGAATTAACGATGATATTTTGTATTTAAAGAATTTTATCGCATTTACGACCGGTGATAAAAATATCCCAGACGCAAAAAAAGGGCATTATGTCCGTTCACACTAATAATCTGACTGCAAGGGTACTATCATTGTTTAAGTATATTATAGTTGGACAACCTATACGGACAATCACTTTCCCATGTAGAAAAGAATGAATATATATTTTACATCTCACTCGCTTCACTATGAAGTGGCGGTACCTTACGAAAGGGGGTAAAAATAGTCTGTAAGCACGTGATGTCGATAAGGTAGTAATCAGTACGTTGTACGGGGAGCAGTCACAAAATAAGCAAACGTACGTGTGAAAACTTTACATATATGTAATATTTGTATATATAGTGCATACCTGTTTCATGTGTGTCTTAGCACGTATATTTGCACAAAACAAATAAAGGTTAAGGTAACAAAAAATTTAATATTATCGCGGTATACCTATTATCCATGAACTGCATGGCTAACAAATATGCGTCCCTTCGTCCACTTTAAAGGCACGAAATTAAACGACCACTACTTTAATTAATAAGTAACAAGTCATCTAATTTGCCTCCAGAATAACTATGGGTTATCATCAAACTGTGAACACCAAATTAATTCAATATGAACATCTTCTTATACGTATTTTTCTTATTAACAGTAGTCAAATCATTAAATACATATTATCTTTGAAACTAAAATGCATTTTATCACAAAATATTTATCACCATTTAAATATATACGATTTAGACATCAAGAAATAAATTTAAAATCGCAAAAATTAAATGTAGCACAGTTAAAACAGCCTTAAATTCTTCTTGTATGTAGGTGCTTATCAGTATGTAGGCATTTTAACGCACAGCAATAATCGTTTTTGATGAGTAATGACTGATGACTACTGTAACACAGTAAATCCTCGAAATCGAAAATTTTAAATATTGAAAAATTCAAATATGGGAAAATTGTAAAATCGAGAAATCGAAACATAAAAAATTGGTTTTTTTTCGCAGTGGATTTCAAAGAATTCGGTTTTGTAGTTCCTGAGTAAATCAATAAAATAAATTTACGCATTCATTAATTTTTTTGAGTCACCCTGTATATGCAAATCCAAAAAAAAATCAATGGAGTGATAAATCACAAGTACAGACTCATCATATTTTGTACAGTTTAGATAGGATTTATTCGGCAAATTTTCGAGCTGACGTCATCAATTTTATGGAGGGGATAAGCAAATGTATTTTGACTAAACATTTATTATGCTCTTTATAACCTTAAAACATCTGCAAGATTTCAAAGCATTCGGTTTTGTAGTTCCTGATTAAATCAATAAAATAAATTTACGCATTCATTAATTTTTTTGAGTTACCCTGTATATGCAAATCGAAAAAATTTGAATGGAATGATAAATCACAAGAAGAGACTCACCATATTTTGTACATTTTAGATAGGATTTATTCAGCAAAATTTTGTGGTGACGTCATAAATTTTTTAGGGGGGACGACCAAATACTTTTTGATCAAAAATTTACCATGCTTATGATAATTTTAAAATATCTTCAAGATTTCGAAGCATTCGGTTTTGTAGTTCCTGAGTAAATCAGTAAAATAAATTTACGCTTTCATTTATTTTCTTGAATCACCCTGTATATGCAAATCCAAAAAATATGAATGGAGTGATAGATCTCAAGTACAGACTGATCATATTTTGTACATTTTAGATTTGATTTATTCGGCAAATTTTCGAGCTGACGTCATCAAGTTTTTGGAGGGGATAAGCAAATATATTTTGACTAAACATTTATTATGCTCTTTATAACCTTAAAACATCTGCAAGATGTCAGAGCATTCCGTTTTGTAGTTCCTGATTAAATCAATAAAATATATTTAGGCATTCATTAATTTTTTTGAGTCACTCTGTATATGCAAATCCAAAAAATATGAATGGAGTGATAAATGACAAGTACAGGCTCATCATATTTTGTACATTTTAGATATGATTTATTCGGCAAACTTTCGAGCTGACGTCATCAAGTTTTTGGAGGGGATAAGCAAATATATTTTGACTAAACATTTATTATGCTCTTTATGACCTTAAAACATCTGCAAGATTTCAGAGCATTCGGTTTTGTAGTTCCTGATTAAATCAATAAAATATATTTACGCATTCATTAATTTTTTTGAGTCACCCTGTATATGCAAATCCAAAAAATATGAATGGAGTGATAGATCACAAGTACAGACTCATCATATTTTGTACATTTTAGATATGATTTATTCCACAAACTTTTGAGCTGACGTCATCAAGTTTTTGGAGGGGATAAGCAAATATTTTTTGACTAAAGATTTATAATGCTCTTTATAGCCTTAAAACATCTGCAACATTTCAAAGCATTCTGGTTAGCAGATTAAAAATTAAATTTCAAAATGTTGTTTTATAATTTTGATTTTTTTTCCAAAAATCTGGACGTTTCGGGTGAAAAGTCGATTCAGATGTTATTTTATACAATTGAAAACCCATTTACTATGTACAATTTTGAAGTGACGTCATCGCATTAGTGGTGGGGATGATTAGACAAATTTTGGTTGGCGTTTTACCATCTACATGATATTCCTAATATAACTACAAAATTTCACAACAATCGGTCCAGTACTTTCGGAGATTATCTGTCTAATAAAAATCCGGGGGCAGACGGACAGACGGACAGACGGACGGACAGACGGACGGACAGACGGACAGACAGACGGAAATGGGACACCTATTTCTTCGTCTTCTAGGGGTCATGAAAGATCGAAAAAACGTAAAAGTAGAGAGTCGGCCGACGGACTCGATTACAATACTTCCTTTGCTTACGCTCGGGAAGTAAAAATGTTTCAAACAAATCATACGTTCTTTTAGCCGTAGACTCCGAAACTGTAATAAGTTACCATTTAAGATTTCGAAGTTAACCCCTGCCCCACCTACAAGGAGGAGCGG